ATTGATAACTACCACAGAAGAACATTCAAACGGCAAATGAGTTAACTGCTCAAATTACGAAGTAAAAATTCCAAAAAAAATCGTCTGCATGGAAATTCTTTTTAACTGCAAGTATAGTTTTGAAAGCATAAATTATCGTCTGCTAATTGACAATTTGTCTTCGGACATTTGTTCTCTGTCCGAAGAAATTTATTCGTATCTAGTTATTAAAAAGGGCTGTGAAAGCCATGGCTTTTCGATATCTAAAGCTACGATAGGTAATATTGTCAACGATAGGAAATTAAAAAAAAGACAACAAATATAATGAAATTAAAAACAAAATAAAATCTGAAATTTAAGATTTTACATTACGCCCCAAAGGTGCATTTTTTAACACTTTGCGTGTTACCTTTATTAATTAAATATCATGTTCTTCGCACTTAAACCGTAAAATTCAGTTCAACAGCAATATCACAAAATAATTTTAAAATAAGCATATCCTTTAGATTTTCCGATACACAGTCTCGCGCGCTGGAGATAAAAATGTTTTTATCTGTAGAGCATTATCATTGCTTGCTTTGAAATTCCTCAAAAATTCGTTAAAATTTTACAAAATATGAAAACGATAATAAAACAAATTCCAAATTTCAAATTTGGGCTTCCAGATGCCCATATTCGCAGGAGGATGACGTTATTCTAAATTTGATGTTTCTAGGTACCGTTGTTTTATCAAAATGAGGGAAACATACATATATTTATGAAGATTTTTAATCGTTTAATTCCTTTAAATATAATACAAGGCGATAATATTTGTTGGCCACAATTTGAAACATTGGCTACATTCGCTTTTCCCATGTACACATCGATTTATTTTCACTTAAAAAAAATCCCAGAATTGCACAAACTCGGCATCGAGCACCACATTGGCTTTCCCCATTTGCACATCGATCTATTTTCACTTAAAAAAAAATTCCAGAATTGCATAAACTCGGCATCGCGCACAACCTCGGCATTGCGCACTACATTGGCTTTGCCCATGTGCACATCGATCTATTTTCACTTAAAAAAACATCCCAGAATTGCACAAACTCGGCATCGCGCACCACATTGGCTTTGCCCATCTGCACATCGATCTATTTTTCACTTAAAAAAAACATCCCAGAATTGCACAAACTCGGCATTGCGCCCCACATTGGCTTTGCCCATGTGCATATCGATCTATTTTTCACTTAAAAAAAACATCCCAGAATTGCACAAACTCGGCATCGCGCACAACCTCTGCATTGCGCACCATACATGGCTTTGCCCATGTGCACATCGATCTATTTTCACGCTTCAAAAAACATCCCAGAATTGCACAAACTCGGCATCGCGCACAACCACGGCATTGCGCACCACATTAGCTTTGCCCATGTGCACATCGATCTATTTTCACTTTAAAAAATCCCAGAATTGCACAAACTCGGCATCGCGCACAACCTCGGCATTGCGCACCACATTGGCTTTGCCCATGTGTACATCGATCTATTTTCACTTAAAAAACATCCCAGAATTGCACAAACTCGGCATTGCGCACCACATTGGCTTTGCCAATGTGCACATCGATCTATTACACTTAAGAAAAAATCCCAGAATTGCACAAACTCGGCATCGCGCACAACGTCGGCATTGCGCACTGCATTGGCTTTGCCCATGTACATATCGATCTATTTTCATTAAAAAAAATCAGAGAATTACACAACGTTAGCTTTTCCAATCTTCTAGGATTGAGCCAAAAAGAAATACAAAATATTAAAATAAGCAACTTTAAAACGAACCATACAAGAAAAAATTTTTCACTTACCCTTTTCAAGAAAAATGTAAAGTCTTTTTGAGGGGTTTTATATATGAATTTATATCCGGGGGAAACCCTTTTGGATCCCCCTCATCTTTAAATAAATTTACAAACGTTTATACGCCGTTTCCGTAATATATGCAGAAAAAAGGCTAAAACCCACAGGGGGGAAAACACTCGATTAAAAAAAGATCCCACATAAGAACATTCAAACCGCAACAGAATTAACAAGTAAAAAATAAATAAATAAATAAAATAAAAATAATGAAAGCTTTTAGATTTTACATTATGCCCAAAGGGCGTTTTTTTTAACGTTTTGTGTGTTACACATTCTTTATCATATAATGTTCTTTACACTTAAACCATAAAATTCAGTTCAACAGCAATATCGCAAAATAATTTTAAAATGAGCATATCTTTAGAATTTCTGACACACAGTTTTGCGCTCTGCACGTAATTTTCTTTTTCTTTTTTTTTTTTCTTTTTTTTTCCCGTACTGTGTTGCAGTTGCTCGCTTTGAAATCTTTGAGTTTGCTAATAAAAATTTCGTTCAAGTTTTACAAAATATCAATCAGATAATAAAAAAAATTCCAAGTTTGGGCTTCCAAATGCCCATATTAGGTTGGAAACGTATGTTATTCAAAATTTGATGGCTCTAGGTACCGTTGTTTTATCACAATGCGAGAAACATTTTTGCAGATTTTTCAATATTTAATTTCTTTAAATATAACACAGGGCGATAACATTTAGTGGCAACAGAATAACAACACAGCTTCAAAACCAAGGAGGTTAGAATAGAAGGAGGGAGGGTTCGCGGTTTCCTCCACTATCGGGGAATGAAACTCCGCCGAACAAGCGGCGTCCATGTTTGTGACTTCAAAATATTGCATTACGGCAGTGACATGTACGTGATTCTAACCTGTTCCGTGCATTTATTTTCCAGTAAAAATATGTTAAATTTATAATGAAATCCCTCGCTATTGTTGAATTTTTGTTTTAAAGTAATAAAGATGATATCCATAATTTACTATGTACAGCAAATTATTAAGAAATAGTTCGAAATCTAAATGCATGCGCATAACATTAAAGCCTTTAAAAAATGATGTTTCTGCATATTTCACGGACTTGCTTAGGTTAGAAAATAAATCTTAATAAAATAAAATAGATTTATGTGAATTCAATGATTTCAGTTTATGCACATTTCATATTTATTAATCTCAAAGAAACTGCCTTTAATTAAGTTGAATTACAGAAATACACCTAAGTTTTTGGATACATCTTTCCACATGTTCAATTGTGTAAATATTTTACTTAATTTTATCACTATACTGCCCAGAAATTTGTAAGTTTATGCAAAAAATTTTTAACAACAGAACAGTTTATCTTAACTTAAAAAAAAATGAATAATAATTAATATATAAAGAAAAGCATTGCTTTATTTAACATCTTTACAATTAATAAAAATAGTAACAATTGATTTCTTACTTTTCATGAAAGTTATAAAACGAATTAACTAAAACGTTCAAATTATACAATTTAAATTCTACCATATAGCATTGTATCTTAAGGAACGAAGATACCAGCTATAAACAGAAACATTAAAATGTATTTAATATATTTTGATTATAGTTATATTACGTAACCTATTTTGACCTATTTAAGTCCCTTTTTTTTCACATCTGGAAAGAAAACCACATGACATTGTGATATTTTTTGACATAGTTGTCATATTACATAAAAAAAGAAAATTAATATTTACGTGTGAAAAATAATGCCCGGAATTTTTTTCGAGAATCTATTTGTGCATCCATATGCAATACAAGCTGACATGCTTCGAAAAGAAAAGAAAAAAATGTTGCAATGACAGACTTCCTTGCACAAGTCACGGTGATAACAGGAAGATGGCCGCGAAGCTTCACCGTTTGAGTTGAACCTTGCCTCCTTCTATTCTAACCTCCTTGTTCAAAACATCTGGTTAGCCATGTTGGCGCGTTTATTGCCCATTGAAAAACAATCGCCAAGCAGTGGGCTAAACCGCATTTTAACCAATTTTTCATTGATGGTTTTAAATTTGTGTTCCTTGGAGATGGTATATGGAAAGTTTTCTTATTATAAATTATATATATATATATGTAAAATATAACAGCTAGTTCTAGAAAACAAAATAATTGGCGACCTCAAAATTAACATTCTAAATTTCGTGATCGCCCCTTGGGTTCATCTTTTCTCACAGGTTCCAGGTTTTTCTATGTTATGTAACGTTTTAATGCAGATACCTTTTGTCCAATTAAATTAATTGTACCCAAAACTCTGAACTGAAACTTTTCCGCTTCCCAACCTTCTTTCTCTGAAGTACTATAACACTCTTCTTTTTTCGCATAAGCTCTCCTGCTGGCAAGACGCTTTTCATTCATGCTGCTGACGCGTACTTGCTTAAGATGACGTCATACTTTAAAATAGAACTTATTGTTTTCAAATATAATTAGAAAATATCTTATCTGCAAAAGGATCGTTTGATATACGTAATAAAAATAAAGATTTTGATTATACAAGCCCAATTGTGATAAATGCGTCATCGTGCTTTTCCAGTCGGCTGTACCTTCAGCCACTACGGTCTTCTCAGCCATCTACGCAATATCGAAAGCTGCTAAAAGTTCCAGTGTCTTCATCTACATATTTTTAAAAACATTACATATATATATATATATATGAAAGAGCCTGTTCATGACAACCGTTGACGGGTAGTCTCTAGATGGTTCTGATTTCTTTTCTCTTTTTCATTAAAAAATGTTCCTTTCAGACTCCATGTCGAAAAAATGCAGAACTCAGAACCTAACCTCAGAGCCATACAATTCTAAATACTCTGCGAGAACAAACAAATACGCGGTTGCTGGAGAGCTCACACGTACTTACATCTTTCATTTTCCGCGTCTGCAGATAAAATAAAAAAGTAAAATATAAAGTTTCCTCTGTAAATGTTGAACAATGCTAACTTCTATGCACCTGAATATCGTTTCAGTCATTTCTGGGTTTGTTCACTCTGAACTTCTGAGAAATGTGAGCTAAATTTTGTCTGAAGATTCTTCGACCGTCTCTCATTTCAGAAAACGATAATCTTTTGGTCGTGAACTTCCTAATTTCCTTGCATTATTCCATTTCCCGCTTCCGTTGGCAACGTAAGTATTGTTTATATACCGACATGCTTATGAATTCTGAAGCTTGATTTATTTTTTTGGAGAAGTTCATGAGTATCGTGTTGACAGAATTCAAATCAAAATAACCAAATCATCTGATTCTTGAAATTTTAAACAACACTAAAATTGAAAATATTGGACTGAATATTTTATATGGCGTCGGCATCAGCTGAAGAATTTGACGTTACTGCAGAAAATGATAAAAAAGAGAAATCTGAATTAGAAGGACTTGAATTTTTTCCGGAAAGAAGGGGTGATAAAATATCTCGAAGTTGGTTTCGATCCCTCTTTTTTGGTGAAACACGAGATAATTTGCAAAAGATTAAATGTGAAAGAAATATTCACAACGTTATGGGGGAAAGTATGACCTATTTATTTTTTATAGTTCTGCATATTGAGAATCTTCAAAGAAATTTTAATTTTATTGTAAGTTTAAATTTATTACAGGTTTTAAAAGTCTATAACTAGTATAATAAAGTATAATGTTTCAAAAATGTAAATTGTGGCATTGTTATTACGTGAAATGGGATGTTTATCACTAATGAGCTCTCTTTTTCCTGCCCGAAACGGGATTGAATTAAGAAAGCTATTAGTCTGAATTCATTTTAACAGTTAAAGATACTTACATAATATGACATGAATTTATATCAAACAGAAAACAGTTTTAATTCTTTGAGTAATTCCATGTCTAAAAAAATATATATATATACATATATAGTTCCACAATATAAAAATAGGAAGCAAATGTGTGTATCAGCAACACTATAAGTAGATGTAAATTTCTAATTTCAAATTTTTACCTTAATTTGCCATAATAATATCTTATCTCTTATACTCAGTTTTTAAATAAGCAGGTATTTTTTATTCTTCATTGATGATAATTTTCCTATTTTACATATAAATACTGAAGATTCTCATATGTGTAACAATGCACATTCAAGTGAAGTAACGTGTGTATGTTGTTGTACATCAGTAAACATAATGAGCATTGGAATTGTAATACTTGATGGTGAAAGCAGTCTTATAAAAACAGATACTGTCTGTAAGATCATAAGTGAAAAATTAGCAGGGTAAAGTGCAGAATTGCCCACTTCTTTGTTTGGTGCATTTTACAAGAGTAAGAAGAATTGGATTTTTGTGAAAATAGGTCAATTTGTACATGGATACTATGTGCAATTCTTAAAAAAGCGCCAAGCAGTGTGATGTCTGCACTTTCCCCAATTAGCATTCCTTTTAAGACATAATTTAATTTCATCATGATAATTTGTGGATACATGTATTTTACTGATTCCCATTAATTTACATTCTTATTACCTAAACTTTAAATGAAAGTAAAAGTTTAGAATTTGTATTAAGGTTCAAGACAATTTGTAAGGATAGTCATTATTAAGTCTGCCATTATCAGATAATGTATCAAAAACTAAATTCAATATAACTCTGAACTTTTCTGTTAATGGTATGCCAGTCCAAATGCGCACTTGTACGAGCAATAATCTTGCATCTCAAATGACATCGAGCATTATGTCTAATCATTTTCCTCCCCTCTTCCTTGCAAGGTTTTAACTGATGGTTGATTCTTTTTAGCAGGGTTGAAATAAATAGATTTTTGAACAAATGATGAAAAGGTCTGTCATTAAATTCTTTTAGAAGAAAATAATTATTCTTTACTTGTAGACAACGTTCTTTTTTTTTTTTTTTTTTTTTTTTTTTTTTTTTTATGGAAACAATGAAAAGGGAGCAATGCCCTCATCAGAAATTCTTGATCTGCAAACCTTCTGACAGCTAGGGAGATATGCTTTCAATTACACCAAAAAGCTTGAGAGAGAAAAGTGGAGAATGAGGGAAAAAATACTTTACACGCTGTTCAAATAGCTACCAATATAAGACTAATTAATGCTAATGCAATTACAAAATGATACTTCAGCCACCAGTTTCACCAAACTTTAATATTTTTCTCAAATATTAATTTGATTATATTTTTAATTATTAATAATTTTGTTATTATTAATTGTAATATTCTTAACAGCACAGTTATTAATTACATTGTTAAGATTTTCATTACTATTTTATGATTAAATAATAAATATAATTTAAAATAAAAAATAAATTTTAAGTAACCACACTTTATTTTTAAAAACCGTTATATCTTAGAATACGAAAATGGTGGCATTAAAAGGAAGAATTGTTATGCACATGGTTGCCAGACACTTCAACAAATTCTGAAAATTCTTCACCTTCTATTAAACTGGTTGTGATGGCATACGCTAAGTACTATGTGTCTCTCAGAAACTCGTATTTTCAAAAGAGATAAAATGATATTTATCTTTTATGTTTTTTAAGTGTTAAGTAAAAATTAACTGGAAAGAATTATTAGCAAAAATGTTGGGGGCTGTCTTAATCCCAATGATCTGATTACACGCTGCTGCTTTTCATTCTATAATTAACATATCGAAGAATCTGTACTATCTTTTTTATTTAAAGAAGTGTTCTTACATGGAAAAACCTTCATCTTCTCTTGGAGCTTCATTATCTAATTTTTCTTGGTCTAACAGATAAATGAGGTTTTGATGTCTCAAATCAAATATCATGTCATCATCCATATCTTAGTAGCTGTACAGTTAGAATTTTTTTTTAAAAAAAGGTCATAGCATTAATTAGACAAATTTGTATTTCATTAAACATGATTTAGTTTTACCATAATTCAATCAAATGATGTTTTGTATAACATGACTTGTGTATCTAATGTCAGGATAGCTGTAATTAAATTTAGAAATGAAATTATAATGTGAAATAGACTGTATTCACAAAAGTAATATCACAATCATTAACATTTCTGATATTAATTATATGAACTAGAAAACTTAATGAAAAGTATTAAGCTGTGCAAGCACTGATAACGTGCACTGGTTGTGTCCTGAGAGAGGCAAAATTTATGTCTTGTTGCCAAGATTCTGATCAAGCATGCATGAAAAGAGGGGTTTTTTTTGGGAGGGGGGAACATTTATTGAATGTTTTATAAAATGCTTATTTAAAGCAATCAGTTACCTTTCTTTTTAGAATATATTAACTTTTAGATACGTAACTCTTTTGGAATATACATTAAATTGTATATTACATTAAAAATGTAATTACAGTTTGTGTACATTTTTAATTACATTAAAAATACTTTTGAACACATAAAATTGTGATGACGATGATATAACAGCTTGTAAAAGTTTTTACAATATATCATGAAATCTATCATTTAGCAAAAGACTGTATTTATTTGCTGTATATGCATACAGATACAAGGTGTTTCAAAACTTATTGTCCAAATTTTGTGGGGAGATAGGAAAGACGTCAGGAAATCGATTTCACATAGAAAAGATGTCTGTAAATGTCATCTACATGAACAAAATAGACAAAGTTAACACAAGGAAACAATACAATTAAGTAGTAATGACGTGACCTTTACTCCAACAAGGTAAAGTAAAGGTTCACAGTAGCTGCTCAAAATTGCTACCATTTGTATGAACACAGGATTCACAGCGCCGTTGCATTGCCCTCCGAACATTTTCAAAGGCGCCTGGCATATCACTGACAGTTCTTGCTGCGGCCACTATTCGTGCAACAAGGTCCATTTCACTGTCGATGGGAGTCTCGTACACATGTTCTTTCATGGTCCCCTACAAAAAGAAATCCATGAGCGGCAACTCAGGTGGCCTGGGTGGCCAAGCGGTCGGTCCACCTTTGCTGATCTGTCAAGCTTTGAATGTTCGGTTTAGGCTGGAGTGCCATGATGTTGATTCCACATACCTCGGCGGATATGCACAGGAACATCTCCCAGAAAAGTCGGTAACGCTGTCTCAATAAAGACTAGGTATTTCCGGCCGTCCAGTCAGGATGGTAGCAAGTAATGTCCCAACAAACAGTCACCAATGATTCCAGTCCATATGTTTATGGCAAAACAATGCTGCGCAGCATGACTTCTTGTACCATGTGGGTTGTCACAAGCCCACACATGTGAATTGTGTGTATTGAACATACTTTCATGAGTGAATGAAGCTTCACCTGTAAAAAAGACAGAAGCTGGAAAACTGGTGTCCGTAACACCATTTTGCAAATTCCAAACGCTTCGGATAATTGTTACGATGCAGTAACTGCAGCCTTTACAGATAGTAGGGATGCACACGTTCCTCTTGCAGTATCCACCACACTGCTGAGTAATAGCTCATGTGGTGGTATTTGGATTATCTTCGATAAACTAGGACTTGTTCTGGGAAGTTGACAGTCTGTGTCAGTCATCTTGCCCCGTATCCTGCATGCTGCTGCCCAGTGAACCATGTTTGCACAGATTGCAATACACATGTGCAAACATTAAATGCTGCAGTATCCTTCTGTTGAATAACGTTTTTCGTAAACTTATCTTTCTTGGTGGCCCCTTTCTTGGTGATATGCAAGATGCATATCCGCTAGCTCTTGATGCGTAAAACGATTCATCTTATCACTAGTGGGAGTGGTCGGGTGAGCTGTACAATGGTTGGATAAACACAGCGCCCTTGCATACATTTGTGGACACATTTTCCTATGTGAAATCAGTTCCCTGACATCTTCCTTATCTCCCTAAGAAATCTGAATGGTAAGTTTTGAAACATCCTGTAAATCTCACTGAATCTGCAACTTGATATTAAAAATACTTAGCCCAATATTTATATTGTTTTATTGCATTTTTTAATTATTTGTAGTATCCTATATGATGATTTTTAAAAAGTGATTTTCTTTTGCTATTAGTTTCCCTCCCCTTCTCACTTTTTACTGAATAAATCATTTTGCAAAGTAAGCACCATTTCTTAATTACAATAATTATTTTTCAGGCCCCTTAATAAGGTTAATGATTGATGCCCTGAGAGCCTCTGGTTGGTATGTGTGTGCTTCTTTTTTAAAAATTTAATGTTAATTTAACTATACTGTGACTTTTCAGATAACTGGAAAATATAAGAAATACAAAAATGTTCATTTTTATATTATTTATAAAATTCAAATTAATTCATGAGTACTGTAAAAAATGAACCCTTCAGCAGATTTTAAATGAATGATTTTTTGAAACTGATTTAAAGGGAAATAATTATACAATTTATATGAGATTTTAATTTTTCTTCTGAGAAAAGGCTGAAATGCTTCATGTAACATGTGACACCATTATATTTGAGTATTTCAGATTAATTTTTCTATTAGCTTGTTTCCATAATACAGTGTTCGCCCATAGTTACATTTTCTGCCCCCCCTTTTTTAAAGTCCAAAAGGACTAGTATTAGTCTTAAAACATAATTTTTCATTTCATTCAAATCTGTTGCCATTTGGAAAAATGCAAAAATATTTATTTTTTAATTCAGTCTGTTATTGATTAACAAACTTATAGGTATACCTGTTGTGAATCAAGTGGAATAGATTCCATCCAATTTGTATATCTATCTGTACATGTTAGACAGTATGTGTTACCATTTGATGGTGGTAATGGACCAACAAGATCAATATGGATTTCTCGAAATCTTTCTGATGGCATCTGATACTCGCCAATTATTGATTTCGTATGTCGGGATATTTTAGATTTTTGACATGGAATACAAGATTTTGCCCTAATGTTGAACATCTTTTTTGATATTTGGCCAAATAAATTTTGAAGAGATTAATTTTATTGTTAATTTAATTCCAGAATAGGACATAATCCATAAAATGGATGAAATATTTTCATACGATAACTTTTGGGTATATAGGGTCTAACATGCTATGTTGAACCATCATACCATAATTTTTTTTCCAGATGGAAGGAAAATCTGTTTTAAAGTCAAATTTGTAGATTTCTGCAATGTCTTAAATTCATCATCTCTATCTTGTTCTTTGACAATATCGTCATAATTAATTAAGGTAATTTCTTCGATTCCAGATAATCGATCTGCTACTACATTGTTCTCTCCTGTAATGTACCTAATATCTGTTTTAAAATTTGAAATGTATTGGATTTGCCTAATTTGTCTTCGAGATACTCTGTCTTTTGGGAAAATGCATAGATTGTGATCAGTATGCTATGAATTTTTGTCCTTCTAACAAATGTGTGAAATATTTATTGGAAAGATAAATAAAATTTCATGATCATATGTACTGCAATTTTGCTGTGTAATGTTAGGTTTCTTGGAAAAAAGTCCAATTGGTTTCCAATTACCATTTTCAAATTATTTTAAAACTAAACTGACTGCTGAATCCAAAGCATCAGTGCACAACAAAAAAGGCAAGTCGGGCTCGAGGTGAGAGAGAAGAGCAACATTTGCTATAGCTTGTTTAAATTTTTCAAATTTCTCAATGGCCTCATTTGTCCAAGTTATTTTCCGATTATTTCTTATCTTTGCGTCTTTTAGGTAGTCGTGTAAAACAGCTTGAGTACTAGCGGCGTTTCTCAAAAAAACAATGGTAGAAATTAACCATTCCGAGAAAGGTTTGTAGTTGATGAACAGTGTGTCAGGCAATTTAATATTATGAATAGCTTTAACTTTGTCAGGAAGAGGTTTTGATCCCTCAGGAGTGATTAGAAAGCCTAAAAATTCCAATTCATCGACTCCAAAAACACATTTAGAAATATTAAGTCTCAATCCATATTTTTGCAATCTATCAAAAACTAATTTTAAATTCGTTTTCGTGTTCTACTTCATTATTTGACGCATCCAAACATCATCCAAATATGGAAAAACTAAAGTTAGTATTCTAAATACGTCATTAATAAATCTGTGAAAGATAGAAGGTGCGTTATGCAACCCAAAACTCATGACATCAAATTCATATAGCTCGAAAGGGGTTAGAATGGCCATTTTCATAATTAGGAATTTGAAAATATACTTTATGCAAATTAGTTTTATAAAATATTCGAGTATTTTTTAAAATGTGGTTGAAATCTTCTAATTGGGGTATAGGATAACGATCTGTTATTGTTTGTACATTCAAACGTCTATAATTCCCACATGGTCGAAAGAAACGATCTTTCTTCAGAACCATATGAAGGGGACTGGCCCATTATAATTTAGAGGGATGAATAATATCATTTTCTAACATATATTGAAATTTCTGTTTTGCTATTTGTATTCGCTTGGGATCCAGTTGTCTAGCTCTGTTATAAACAGGTTGTAATATAATGCTCAACACCATGATTAAATGTTGATAATGATAAATTCAGTTTTGCTAAATCTGGATATTGTTGTAATAAATTAGCATATTTAGAATTTTTATCTAGAGTATTAAATAGCATGGTCAGTAAACACTACATTTCTTCGAAACGAGAGGCTAGTTATTTCATCAGTTAATTGTTTATTATGAATATCAACTAAAAGTTTAAATTTATTTAGAAAATCAGCTCCTATAATAGCTTTATCAA